ATATATATATATATATATATATATATATATATATATTCTATTTAGTTTATAGAGCTATCTACTTAATAGAATATGTACGTATATAATATTACAAGTGGAGCAAAACAATACATGAAATCAAACATTATCATAAAATAAGTCAGAAAAAAGAATCTACATTTGAAGATACAAAGTATTGCAGGAACAACAAACCTATATGTATAAACTTAAGTTTATATATGTCTAAATTTAATAAAAAAGGTATCTTGGTAGTCTTTTATTTTAGTAATTAACTAGGAGAAAAAAATGAAAGGTGTAGACAATGGAAGTTCAGAAACACTGAACTTATGGGGAGGTTTTAAGTCCTTTTTTCATTTGCAGATTGTACAGCAAAACAAGGAACCGGAGGTATTTCCACAGCCCAAAACTTTGTCAAAAACCAGCCAAGTAAGTGTATGAATTTTCCTTTAGTAAATAAATTACTATTCATGGTAACTTTTTTCTAAGAAAAATATTCTTTGTATCTTGACAACCTGAGTACAAGAACATGGTAATGTTACCATTCTAACTGCTGGTGATGATGCAGGAACTAGAAAGAATATTTTACTCCGCATTCTCAGATTGAGTTTGCATCATAGCAGTTTGGAAAAACCTGTTTCTATATACTAAAATATAAGTAATTGAATAGCAAGCAATAAAGAACACTAATTCCATGATTTACTATTTAAGCTGGTTCTCAACCTTCTTTAGACTCAAGGCACCCTTCATTAGACTGAAAGTCATCCCTTGGAAAATGCCAGTTCTTAGTTTTCATTCACTCTGACTATGGAAAAAAAATACAGCAATTTTTCTGTTCCAAAGAACTCAGAAAGCTCACAACGTCAGTATGTTTTTAATGCTATAAATTCTTATTTGAAATGCTTGGGCTTATCTTGTGAATCATGTTTCCACACCTAACAGTGTTAAACCCTGCAGTCCATTTGAAAGGATCTTAAGGAATCCCAGGGTGTCTTGCCACCCTGGTTGAGAATCACTGATAAAAGTGTGATGATGTCTAGATGCCTCCATCAAAGGACACTTGGCACTGTACAAAAGTGGAAAGTAACAGTCCCTGGTTCCAAACCATTGATATTCTCAACAAGACAAGCATAACACCTGAGTGAGTCAAACGTGGTAAAAAAGTGAAAGATAGGATAAAGTAGGGACCTGGAAGTCAACTCTAGCATACACTAGCTATGAGCACAGTTGGTAGCCAGTCCATTGTAGTGACTACCGTAATTGAAACTTTTGCTTTCATGGATTAAGTATTAAGATTATTAAAATCCCAACAGAAGAGCCTTTGAGCAGGTTAATAATCATATTAACTCAAAGTCAAGTCAACTTTGAGATTCCCATCAGAAAATTATTAGCTGTAACCAAAAAGCAAGGTCAAGCCTTTTAATAGAGTTTACCTCTAATGATTTTTATTTCATTATGTATGTTAAAACATGATTTAAAAGTTGAAAGCACAACTTAATGTAGTCCTCTCTGGAGATCAGTAGCACCCAAACTAATCTGTTAAATCAATATTTAATTGTTAGATATACAAACACCTACACATGATTCACAAGATAAACCTAGAAATTTCCAAAAGAAATCCATAGCGTCAAAATCACTGTGATCCTGTTGTGGCCTTTCTGAATTATTTGCAGCAGAAGAATTGCTGTATTATTTTTCTATAGTCAAGAAATGAATGAAAGTTAAGACCTAACATTTCCCATGGGGTGCCCTTTGTCTAAAAAGATTGAGAATCACCAGCAATAAGGTAGGAAGAGACAGACCAGTTGTATTAAAGGTGGAAGGGGACATTGTATGCATCTGCTGTTCCATGGTAAGCATCCAGTCTCGCACTCTGCAGTAAGTGTAAGTTAAGTGGAAATGTTTTCTTTGTGACAAACTGCTCCACCTTAGTTTCCATTTGTTACAGGATAGGACTGTACATGTGTAATAGTTACAGCAGAATGGATGATGCACAGGAGGCTACCCCTCCCCTTTAACTCAGTATTAAATTATTTTGTCCTTACCCTTAGTGTGCTGATGCTCTAGCATGAGCTGGCCTGAAAGTGTTGTGATTTTTCAAATTTAAACTTTACCGGGAGCTTTCCATACTATATTGTTATTTACCCAAAACAAAACCAAGACAACTTTGAATTTAAAATGACCTCCCCACAATAATTTGAGTTTATATTCTGTCCCAGAATATGAAGTGCATGTTGGCACTGGCCCCAACTGTCTCCAAGCAACAGCAGGGGTGTTGGCTTTACCCCTAGGCTTGGGTCAGAGCCAAAGTCAGAGGTGCAGCAGGTCTCCTGCCACTGCAGTCTTCCCCCAGTGCTCCCTCTGAGCTTCATGTGGCACAACCTCCCCCACCCCTGCACCTTATCTCCTGAACCATCCATCCCCTCTCCTGGTGCCTGAGCCACTTTGAGCTGCCCCGGCTACAGCCATTCAGCAGTGGTGCCAACAGCTCCATCCCTGGTCCAGGCAGGCATCCGCTGCAGCTCCAAGACCAGGCCTGGATTGGAGATGCCTGCCCTGGGCCAATACTCAAATCCAGAATAAGGCTGCTTTCTTCCTCACCCCACTCCACCGTGTTGGATGCCGGAAAAAAACAAACTTATCTTTTGATTTCAAGTAAATACAGTAATATTAATCTTGCAAGTTATAATCCTTTTGAAATGATTTAGCATAGTTTAACTTTTATTTTTAATAGGTTATTTTGAACTTTAAAAAGACACATTTTATTTAGGTATAAAAGCAGTTTATTTTTCACCATTTGTTTACAATGTTTTATCTATAGCTGCTTCATTTCTGTTTTTTATTCTTGGCTGAAACTGACAAAACTTTCAAAAAAAAGTTGGTCACTCAGGAGGCTTAAGCAAGAAAGGACGTTTGTTGAGTATATTCTGATGTGGCTTACAGGGAGTCGAGGGATAATAACCTGAGGTAGTAACTTAATTGTACAGATATAGCAGGGGTTGGCAACATTTTTTGGATTGAGTGCCAAAAACACCCACAACCTTGACTTGTAAGGTGTTGGCATACCAGGGGTGGATGGTAGGGGAGCCACGAGGTGCCTGATACTTGTTGTGGCAGCACAGCCCTGCCATCCATTGTGAAGCACATGTGCCAAGCAAAATGCCTATACATGTCACACTTTACCACATGCTGGGGATTGCCTTCCCCTGAGAGAGAGCCTTTCTGCACCTCTCCCCTTTTATACTTCAGTGGAAGGTTTTATTATTGTGAATTCTTCCTATTAATTTCTCTATAGAAGAAAAATCTATGAGAAGGCTGTGCCTCAACAGGCTCAAAAAAGAAAATAAAAATAATTGAAAGTTACATTTTAAATTGTTATCAGAGTAAAGTAACTAATGAAGATATTAACATATTCTATTAACTCTATTATCCGGTCCTTTAGTTCAAAAGAATACATTCGTTTGTCAGGTCAGCAGATATAGAAAATTTAATCCAAGGCCTCTCTTCTGCATAAGTTTAGGATGAACAGAATAGTTTGAGGAATAACCTCTTGGACACTAAGTTGCCTAGTTGTCAACTTTATCTTCTTATCCTTCCCTCTTCTTTGCAGAGTTAAGAACTGTGGGGGTAGAGACTACAAGAGGAAGAAAGGGCCTCAAAGAAAAGAATTCTCTGAGTTGTCTAATTTCAGCTGTTAAAATTTTAGACTTATAAAAACTAATCAATTTATTTCAGCCAGTTAAGGAATAAGCCACTTTGTTTTATGCACCAAAAGCTTTAAAGCTTTCTGCTTGTATCTGTGTTCATATGCAGTGCATTTCCACAAATATTATGTTTTAAAGGTGTTTGGTATGGTAATGAGCATCCTTAACTCCCACTGTTTGCAAAACTGCTAAGTATCCATTAGGTATCTGATTTCTCCCAGTGCTAGTTGAATCTCTTTTCCCCACCCTTTTGCCATAATATAAAATAGAAAGATTTAATGCATGTTATTTTTTTAAGACTTACTTATATTTTTTTCCAGTTGTACAGTTACCTGCAGTTTCATGTGTTAGAACTATATTGTTTGTAAGATAGAAAGAGCCACAGCACAAACACCACCAGTGAAATGACTCTTCTGGACTCTTAATCTGGTGAACCACTTATTTGCAACCTTACATGCACAAATTGGTATCTAAGGAGTGACGTATGGAGTTTTAGGCATTTTATCCCTCTGTTTGTATTAAATCTTGAATAGTAAACCACAGTACTGTCTATATACACCTGATCTGTAAGAGTATTATAACAACAGTCCTTGCCAAGCACTGAACTGTATTCCTTTTCCTGGCAGGTTGCATCTCCCCAGTTTGTTACAGCTACAACTACAGTGGCACCTTCAATCCTCTTGTCTCCTAGTGTTTTCCAGCAGTCAGCTACAAAATCCACTGAAGTGGAAAATAAAGCCACTCCTCCTTCCCCTCTAACACTTGGCGCAACAGAAATCCAGGCTATGCCACCTACTGTCCTCAGTCGGTCTCAGCTCCAAGAGACATTAATACATCTAATAAAGGTACTGTCAGTATTGCCTCCTTGCTTTTTCTTTGCTTTGGTGTTCTGCAGAAATACTATGAGATCCATGCCCTTGTAACTTCTATTCACTTTGGTAGACACTATTGGACTTCAGCAATCTTGAAAGTTCTGATTACAGGCAACCCTCACTTAATGTGGTTTTTCTTACAGTGGTTTCATTATAACAAACATTTAAAATACCTACCTAGTTTTGCTCAGTGCTGAGCACGTTTCACTATAACGCTCAGTGCGGGCGTGGGAAGAAGAAGTGGCGGCGGTGGCGAGGGAAGTGGTGAGTGGCAGCCAGCGGGAGCCCAGAGACAGTGGTAGCAGGAGGCCGGGGTCCACTCCAGCACATGAGCTTGGAGCCCAGGTCAGTATGGCCTGGGACCACAGGGTCCGCTCAGGCACACGGTGCCTGAGTGGCCAGTGGGTGGGGAGGAGCGGCAGCAGCAGCGAAAAGGTGCTGATGGGGGGCATGAGCGCAAGGCCTGGGCCAGAGGGGCAGCGGGAGCCAGTGCAAACTGAGCCCACAGAGCTCCCCCGCCCCCAAGCCTGCAGTGATCTGTTGGTGGCGGCTTGTCCCTGTACCAGGTGCCCTGGAGGGAGCCCCTTCTAGGCAAAGCAGGGCAACTTATCCCGCACCAGAGCCCCAACACAGGCCCCATGGATGGGGTGACTGGGGCCGTGCACAGATGCACTGGTGGCCGGCAGGTGCGGGCCAGCGGGAGCCATTGCAGCAGGGGAACATTGAGGGTGGGAGGTGCTAATGCCTTCCCTGGCAGAGCCGGTGTGGTGCCTTGCCGGGAGCGGCCTGGCCAGGGCCGGCAGCAATGCAGGGCCTGGGCTGGCAGGGCCCAGAGTGTGGCTACAGGAGTGTGGGGTCTGGGTCAGCGGGTGGTGCAGAACCAGTTATCTTTTATTTACACTAAATCCTATAGGGAAATGGGTTCCACTTAATGCTGTTTCACTTAGTGCTCGGTTTTTGCGAGAACCAATTAGGAGCACTAAGTGGGGGTTGCCTGTATTTAGTACAGACACCAGTTATAGTCGAGCTGTCTTTCTTTTCAGCATGACATTATTTCCTTTTCTGTAGTAAGGAAGGGGGATGGAAGGGAGATCTGCATTGGGCTTTCTTTCCATTCTATATAAAATCTGTAGAAAATGTGTTAATTCCAAGCTATATTAACTTTCTTGTGGACCTTAAACTTCTCATGCTAGGGTAAATTGCCAGGGTATCTTTGGGACAAACTATCTTTGACAGCCAATAGATTTGCTTGGTCATGAAGCCAAGAAGAGCAGAAAGAAGCTAGAGCTCCTGTTGCACAAATAACTTTAGCCTAGCAAATCCCAGGGCATCCACAGAGTTTGGGAGGGAGATACAATACATTGTAGCTAGAAGTGCACTGATGCATTGGTCTGCTTTCAGATCAGCATAGATACAAAGAAAATTGACTATCAGAAATCAGCCTGATGTGGCCAATAATTTGGCCAATAAATGCCCGTGCCTGTGCACAGCCACAGCACAGCACGCAGGCAGTGAGTAGAGCCTGGCAGCTTGGAGAGCTGCCTGCAGCTGGTAATTCGGTTGTGGTGAATGGGGAAGGGGCAGAAAAGGGTGTTGGGGGTAGCAGATCAATGCCCCCCCCCCCCCGGCAGTGAAGGAGCAGTGGGGTTGGAGTAGGCACTGCCTAGCTAGGGTGGGGCAGGGGTGGGATACAGCCGCGGCTTTTCTGGGGGGTGCGGGGAGTGGGGTGGCAGCTCCTGCTGCTGCACAGCACTGATCTAGGAGTAACTCATCTGCTCATCCAGCGGCTCCCACCGCCACTGCTAGTCTGAAAGGGCAGGGTGGGGCATGTACCCCTGGATTTGCATGGGGCAGACTACAGCTGGACTCAGGGGCCACTTGGAGAGGGCACCAGCAGCACTGGAAGCACATGGCCACAGCCCACCCAGCCCTCCCTGTGCAGATCCGGGGCCACCCCCTCCCCCATGCCTTCCTGGATGAGTGGCAGGAGCAGCAATAGGAGCCGCTGGATGAGCAGATGAGCCGCTTATGGACCAGCGGTGCGCAGCAGCAGGAACCGCCTCCCCGCACCCCCGGACAAGCCATACTTGCCTCGCCGCGGCAGGGCAGCACCTGCCCCAGCCCCAATGCTCCCTCACCACGGGAAACATTGATCTGCTCCCCGCCCATTCCCTTTCCCTCCCCTTCCAACACAACAGACTTATCAGCTGCACGCAGCTGTATCAGAAATCAAATCGATATTAGCCAATATGCCTCCTTAATAACCAGCTATCCATATCGGCCCCCAAAGTCTCTATCAGTGCCCTCCTAATTGTAGAATATTTGTTGTTCCAGCAGCAAGTCTCATGTAGAGGGAAGTAACATGGGGCGGGATTTTGCCTACAGAAGTTGAAAAATCCTTGTGAATTCCACGTATATTGGGACTAAAGCCCAATTTTGGAAGAAAACAGACAATATCGCCCCCTGCCCCTCCCACTGCCCCTCCTCTGAATCATGAAAAACCTGCAAGCTGGGCTCCACTGTCAACACTCTTTATCTTCATCAGAGGCATTTTGCAATTATTTCTGCCCTGTGATCTTAAGAACACTCAAAAGTGTTCCTACTCAAATGTTAGTTCTCACTCTCACTGTGTGGAGTTACATATTTGTTCCCCCATTGGGGGCATTGCTTCTGATTGACCGTCTTCTTCCCACTTTACATACATGGGTACTGTAAACATTGATCAAAATTTGGCATTGCTTTCAGTAGGACTCAACGATCCCAGTGGAATGTAGAGGGGCAAAGAGTAACTACTGCAGAGGGAAAAGCAGAATATTTTCTCTTTGTGCTTATTGGGGTTTTTTTGTTTGTGTGTTTGTTTTTTGGTGTCTGCTTAGATGTGTTGCCAGGTGAAGCATTTGGATCCAAGGCAACTAGAGTAGCTTTTAAGTACTGCATACAGTTCAGGTTGTCTAGTTTACCACTAAAAATAATGATCTAGGATTTTATACAGAAGTATACACGGTGGATTATTTCTAGACTGATTTAAGAGGTATGTGACTGCAGAAATTCTTATCTATGATGTCAGGACCATTTGAAATATATGTACAGGGTTGCCATGGCCTCACCTCTCACTGTCCCAGTCTGTCTGTAGATTGCCCTTGTGCAGCCATTCTGCCTTACACCCCCAGCTCTCATCTTAGGGTGTCTTATGTGGAATTAAATAATAAAAAGATAGCATTACTTGTGTGTGTTTCTAGCTAATGTACTGCCTATGCTTTTCCTTCTGCAGAATGATTCCAGTTTTCTCACCACTATTCATGATGTCTACTTGCAAGTCCTGACCAAGAATACTGACATTAATCTATAATTGAAATTAGTTCAATTCCACTGACAACACATCTGCTTCAGAAACAATTATGCCTCATCTATAAAACTAATATTTTTTTAAAAAGAATATTTAGTTTTCAGTGTCTTGAATTTGAGCCTCTTGGGAAAGACTATTCCTTAAAAATACTTCTAAAAGTAATGTTCTCAGAAGTGATCTAGGTTTCACTGTGATCATCACCAGCAAACCTTTGTTCTTTGGAAACATTGGGTAGTTGCAAATGAGCTTTCATTAGCATTAAGTGAGTGTGCAGATGTTTGAGTCACTGTCATTTCTAACTGTTTTCATTTTTAAGAGATAACGGGGAACAGTGCTATTTTTCAGCTATCAAGTGTATACCACACTTTGCAGACACGAGCAAATTGAGTTGCAAACCCCACTTCTATTTTTAAGGGCTGCATAAAGGCTGAAGCAGGTAATTTGTTATGATGAATTGGCTATGGAAAGATGAGTGCACAGGAAAAGGTACTGTGCTCAGGCTTCAAGAGAGCTGCTGTTGGAGCTAAACATTTGATGTGCAGGTTAAAAAAGATCTTTTGCCTGTTCCTGAGTAACCAGAAGCCTCTACCCAACACACATCCATTTATTTTGTAAGTGTGTATGTTTAACTCTTTTCAGCATCTATGGCAATATGCCGGTTCCTCATTAAGTTATACCTGGTTGCTCTACAAAGGCAGAATCTAAGCATGCAAAATCTTAGGAAGGGGCAGTTGAATCTTCTTTTAAGTATCAGTTTAATTGTGGCATTTGGATTCTAGTTGTTACAGTTTTTAAAAATATATTTGGAGGAGAGTACCCTATAAGCCTGTTGTTTCCCTGTTATGTGGAGTTCAATATGGATTTTTGGAACGCATTGTTTCCCTTTAGCCAAGGATGGACCAATACCATAGTTGAGTTTCATTCCTCAATTGTGTTGGTACTATAATGTTGAAAACTATGCAGATGGGGAAGAAATGTGAACTGTTCCCTTCTCTTCCACCCCCTCAGACTTTTTCATGCTTGTCACACAGCATTTATTTAAAAAAGTGATGCTTCTTATATATGGTTTAATGTTTCAGTATTTACTAGTGTAAGACTCTAACTACTACTTCACATTTCCCCATGTAGAGTTATACTAATCCTTAATGATATTTTGCTATGCTGCTATTGGTCTATCCATGACTTAAATTTATTTCTATATGGCATGCAAACGTAGTTGATAATACTTAAATGTAGATCTCAATTTATTCCAGCAATAGTCATTTTAAAGGATCTTTTTGAGTAGCAAGGTCTTGGTTTATATGGTAAAGGATAATTTGTAGTAAATATAACCAGTTAAGATGCGCTGCTTATTTTTTCAAGCACTATTGAAATGAAGAAGAAAGAACAAATTTCATTTGGCTCTACAAAACAGAATCTACTAAGGATGAGTTATAATAATGTGACAGTCAAAATGCAGGGTCGTTTCATTGGAAATGATGAAATAAGCTTTAATTGTAAATCGATTACAGATCAGTGTGTTTCTCAGTCATAACAAAAAGTATGAGTTTTTATGCATCTAATGTCTCTTAGTATAGACTTTGGTTTTTGAGTGAAAGTGGTTTTTTTTTTGGTTTTTTTTTCCTGCAAAATCTGCCTTCTAAAAAGCTCTTTAACAGCCATTGGGATTCAGTATTTCCAGGTGAAAATATATAGTATTTTATGTTAGAAAAATATGCAGAATTCAGGGAAATGTGTTAGCAATCGTGCAAGTTTACCAAGAAATGTATTGGCTTTAATGGTAGAATTTTAATTCAGCAATAGACTTTCTGAACCTTGCTAAGGAATAAGGGAGCTTTCTTAATCAGATACTGCACAAATCACAAAAATATGCTTCATTTATCTAACCTACAGACCTAATGCAAGTCAAATTTGAGGTCCCCTTAGAAAGAGAGAGAACGGGGGGGAAAAAGGCCAAATCAGAGAGCAGTTCTCTTGGATATAGTTCTAGCCTAAACCAAATGTTACACTTGGTTTTCTCCAGCTTTAACAGACTGAGTCAGTATATTCTTGATTTTTTTTTTATAAGGATTTTTAGTACCTTGAAAAGGAGGTTGAATTAAAGGAGATGTTCCCTAGTGTAGAGAGGAGATGGGGAACTACTGTAATCATACCAACCTTTCAGATATGTTACAACTAAATACCGTCACATTCTTCAAGTAATATCCAAAATGTCAAAATGATGGGACAGTTGAGGAGTTCCTTCATACCATTGTACTGCAATATGGAGTACAAGTCCTGGACAGCTGACAAAGGGAATACTGTTTTAAATAGCATCATTACAACAAGTTACTCTCTAAAGCCCAAACTGTCCATGTTTCTATTAAATGTGTTTTGCATTATAACTGTCCAGAAACCTCAGCAAGCAGTAGGCAGATTCAATTTTTTTTTTCTTGTAGTGTAGTAGTGCCAAAAAGTATGTTCTTCCCAGCTTGCAAACAAACTTCATTAGGTGTAAAATGAAATAACTTTAGGTAACATTATAACTGATTTCTGTTCATGTCCTTTTTTTTTCTGCACCTTTATTCCCCCCTCCACAGATGTAGCAGACACTGGGAGGGGTGTTCTGTAATAAAACATAGCATGGTTATCCCCTGCAGTATATGCAAAGTGCCAGAATAGTGCTCTTTGTAATACATAAATGTTTAACAGATTTAACCTCTTCAAGGAGAAATTGCTTTGTAAAACAAAAGTTCAACTGCAGCATAAAACATGAGATATTTTAAAATGTGGAAGTTATTTGACAGTTCTACTTTTGTCGTTTTTTAACCTTTTGTAATAATGTAGAATTAATTAGCTTGTCTCTTTGTGAAGAGATTGATTCATGTTAGATGCATGTAGTAATAGCTAATGCATATAGCTAGTTACCAAGGGTCACCACAGCAACTGAACATGACCATTTAAAGTGACTTTTATTGTGGTAAAGCTGCCAGTAAATTGGATTTTACTCATTAGTTTTGAGAGTTCATAGTTTACTTCCAGAATGAATTTTACTGTCTCAGCATGTTTCTTTGACCAGTGTTCAGTTACTTGGAAAATTACAATTTACTAATCACAGATTATTTTTAAAATTATAACTGCTTTATTATTCACAAAATTAAGATAGTTTCTCAGTTCTGTAGTTGTATTATTAACATAATGGCAGTTATAATCTCCGAAGATGTATGAAAGGTGCCTACTAGCTATTAATTTGGGGGCAGTATATCTTGTCAAATTACACAAGATTTGCAAAACAGTTGAGGCAGAGTTTAACATTTAAAGTAATTGATTTCTAGTTTCATATAACAAATGCTTAATTCTCCAGATATTGATATTTTAATATTATATTTGAATGCTTGCTGTTGGACCCATTTCATTTCGCCCATATTTTGGTTTGGCCTACTTAAGTACCTTCTTGGAAACAATGCCCTGTGTAGTCCGGATGTAATTACTGAGAAACTTTTAAAAGCTAATAATTAATTTGGAACATTATTTTTAAAAATATTTTAGAGAAATCAGCCACTTTTTGCCAGTTATTGAGTTGCTTCTTGCTAACAACATATCTTAACAGGAGGAATGTGTGCAATATATTTCACCTTAGTGTTGTCTGACATCATTGTGAAAATGTTAAGATGCAATATCTTCCTTCCACTTTAAATTGGAAAAAAATGCAATATCTTTCTCTGGTGGTCTATTTTTTTTAATCTATTCACTGGGCACATGGCTTTTTTGTATTTTTTTTTTTTAATGTACAGTATGCATTTTTTAACAGTGTCTCATTTTTTAACACTTTTTTCAGATGCACCAGTTACTACCCATTTGCATGTTCTTTCAGTGTGAAGAGCTTAAGACATTGGTATTTTTTAATAGTCATTCCTTGAAACTTACGTGAACAATATTTTAGAAATCCAGTAAAAGTAGATACTGCATCATTAACATTTCAATATGTTATGGACTTTATATCATCTATGTATGTTTGCAAATATTAAGTTATTGCATAAATGTTTAAGAATGAACATTTTTCATCCAAAATTTTGTATGTTTGCAAATATATTTTTGTAATAAAATTTCAAAAACAAATGTTTCAGCACCTCCTAAAATCTTCCACTCTTTGCTTTCATTTGTAGTGGCAGGAATTTGCTGAGTGTAAACTCAAAAAGTATACCTGGAGTAAGAATCTTGCAGTTTGGAGCCTTCATGAAATCTTTGTGTTGCAAAATGAACCTAGTGGCACAAAGTGGAACCCACAAAAAGTTATAAGAAGAGAATATGTGGATGCTTAGAAGACAGCAGAACCTGAGCATTTAGCATCTCTTTTTCTTGCTAATGTTACTTATCCTACTTAATGTCTTAAATTTGTATTTAGAGTCTGATGAATCAACCAATGCTCTTCATTTCTGAAAATCTGCAAGGTCACTATTGCAAATCCTGCTGCACTAGTTTCAATTGGCTTGGATCCCAGTCTTTAATTTTTGTAATACTCTTCTCATCTAAACTGATGGATGTTGTGTGACCAAATACTAGTCTTAGCTAAATGTGGACTTGGCAATTGTGTGAATTAATCCAGTTGCCGTTTGCTATATATTAATTAAGATTATTCTATGCCAGTGGTGCCCAACTTTTCACGTTGTTAACTGATGGGCCCAATCCAGCTGCAGAGGGTTGCACAGACTGACCTTGATCCATCTGCTTGGGACAAAGGTAGGGTAGAGTAGGCCTAATCTGGGCGTACATGTGAGGGGGCGCAACCTGGTTGCAGTCCTAATCCAAACACACTGGGCAAGACAGCTCTGATGCAGACTCGTGATGGGGTGGGAAATGAAGCAGCTCTGGTCTGGAGGTGCAGGGGAGGGTATGGCAGTCCTGATCTGGATGCATGGTGGGAAGGGGAGAACACAAGCCTAACCCCAGTCTGGATGTGTTGGGGGTAGAGTGGAGTGGTTCTGATCCAGACATGAAAATGGGTGAAGAGAGGGACCTGGGGAGCAGCCCAGCCCAGGCTGAACTGGACTGGCAGGCATTGGTGGGCCTGGACCTAATCCCACTTCATGGCAATCGCCCAGACAAAGCTAGATCCAGCCACATGGAGCTTCCATGGCTCCCTGCTGCCAAGTTTTCCAACCCATTGGAGAGCCCTGCAGGCCAGATGTAATGACTCCACAGGATAGATTTGACCAGCAGGCTGGAGGTTGAGCCACTCCTCTATAGTATTTGCGCCAGCAAGTTCCTCTCCAATTGCCTTTCCTTGCAGACTTCTAGAAGGCAAGAGTGATCATTTCTGTGGAATAGCCATGGAAACAAAATAGCAACAGACAAGGTCTGAATTCTGGCTTTGCTTGCCACACTGAATTTGTGCATGCTACTGCCATTGTGGAAGAGGATGGAAAACTAAGAACACTGGGGTTTTTTGGTTGGGGTCTTTTTTACTTGAAGAGTAAAAAACTTTACTGTTTTCACTGAATTTCATACGTCGTTTAGAGATGGTTAGTCAGTATATAACTATAAAGACTTGATCCAGTCTTTTAAAGACTTGATCCCTTGCTTAACTAGAGTCCTGAGTGAGGGGGAGTTCACTTGAGGGTTGCCTGGAAACTTTTACCTTTCTTCATGTTAGCTTTATAAGAGGAAGCAGAAAAAAGGGAACCTTTTGGGACCAAGGAGCAGTGAACAAGCTAGCTTACAGGGGAGTCTGCTAGGGAAGGTCTCCTCAGAGAGGCAACAGATTAAGACTTGCAGAGAAATGGCTGAAGGACGTCACAATGCCAGGGACACTGCTAGTTCTTCCTCTGCTTACATTTGTGAGGCATCTGTCCAGGCAGGATGGCTCACCATCAAGGCTTCCACCCAGGTCCTGGCTTCACACTGTGGATGCAAGCAAAGGCTCCAAAGCGTCCTCCACTGTGAAGACTTCATTGATTCAGTGCTGAAGGAGACCTCTAGGACTGTGGAGAAAGGACTGCCACAGGCAGTGCTAGAGGAGGAAAGAGAATGTGGGCTCCCAGGAAGGTGGAAACTGGAAACTTGTGACCTCTGACAGCAAGCAGAGGCCTTTATCTCCAGCTGCAGTGGTTTGCCTGAAGAACAGATATGGAGACCTAGCAACAGAGCACTTTCTGTTGGTGGAAGAGACCTTGCCAGGCCTCGTGAAAGTTGGGAGGATCAAGACCACTGCCATCAAGAGGAAGTGACATGGTGGTGATTGGAGACTCCTCCCTTCTGTGGGGAGACAGGTATCCATCTGCTGGCCTGCTGTTTTGTCCAGTGCCCAGGTCTGAGATGTCATGGAAGGATTACTGAGACTTATTTGGCCCTTTGGCTACTACTTCATGCTGCTCATCCTTGTGGGCACAGTGATACTGCCAGGAGTGACCCTAAGCAGATCAAAAGTAAGTAGAGGGCTTTGGGTGCAAGGGTGAAGGGCACAGGGGCTCAGGTGGTGTTCTCAATCTTTCTGGTCAGGGGGAAGGGCCTGGGCCAGAGTGGATGCATCCTGCAGATCAGTATATGGCTGTGTAGATGGCATCACCGTTAGGGCTTTGGCTTCTTCAACCGTGGCATGTTTTTCCAAGAAGGATCACTAGAAAAAGATGGGATCCACCTGACCAAGAGAAGGAAGAGTATCTTTACCGACGGGCTCGCTAACCTAGTGAGAAGTGCTTTAGAGTCTGTTGTTAGGGAAGAGGAAAGCCTTGAGGTAAGTGGGGAAGTGGGTGACCTGGATGAAGCACAAGCAGGAGGGGGCAACAAGGGAGGCATTGTACTTCCTGAGAAAGTAGTGCAATCATCTAGTTACCTCAGATAGCTATATATGAATGCTTGGAGCTTGGAAAACAAGCAGGAGGAATTGGAAGTTCTCAGACAAGACAGTTCCAAACTATTATGTGATTGGTATAAGAAAGACTTGGTGCGATAGCTCATATGACTAGAGCATTGTCATAGATGTGGTTATAGATGGGTATTAACTGTTCAGGAAGGACAGGCAGGGGAGAAGAGCAGAAGGAGTTGCACTTGATGTAAAAGCAGTGTATGACTGCTCAGAGCTCCAGTATGAAATGTAGGATAGGCCTGTTGGAAGCCTTTGGTTTGGGTTGGAGGGGAGAGCAACAAAGGTGATATGGTGGATGTGTGTCTGTTGTAGACCACCAGACTGGGAGGATGAGGTTTTCTTCAAACAACTAGTGCACGTTTCCTGATCACAGGCTGTGGTTCTCATGGGGGCTTCAATCACCCTGACATCTGCTGAGAGGGCAATACATCAGTGCAAGTCAATTCAGGAAGTTTTTGGAGAGCATTAGAAACAACTTCCAGGTGCAAGTGTTGGAGAAGCCAAATAGGATCTGTGCTCTTCTTGACCTGATGACCAAAAAGGGAAGAATTGGTGGGGAATGTAGTAGTGGATGGCAACTTGAGCAGCAGCACCCAAGAGATTGAGTTCATGATCCTTAGAAAAGGAAGGAAGAAGACCTGCAGTAAGGACTATGGACTTCAGAAAAGTAGATTTTGACTCCCTCAGGAACTGATGGGCAGGATCCCCTGGGAGGCCAATCCGAGGAGAAAAGGAGTCCAGGAGAGCTGGTTGTTTTCTAAAGAAACGTTACTGAGGGCACAAGAATTGAACTATCCCAATATGTGGAAAGACTAGCAAGTATGGTAGAAGACCAGCTTGGCTTAGCAAGGAGCTCTTCAGTGAGTTAAAACACAACAAGGACAGTAAGTTTAAACTAGGACAAACAACTAGGTAAGAGTATAAGAGTATTGCTTGGACATGCAGGTATGAAATCAGGAAGGCCAAAGAGTAATTGGAGTTGCAACTAGCAAGGATGTGGAAGGTAACAGGAAGGGTTTCTACAAACATGTCAGCAACAAAAAGAAGATCAGGAAAAGTGCAGGTCCCTTATTGAATAGGGTAGGCAACCTTGTCGCAAGTGATGCAGAAAAGGCTAAAGTACTTGATGCCTTTTTTACCTCAGTCTTCACAGGCATGGTGAACTCCCAGACTACACCATGTGGCAGCACAGTTTGAGGAGAAGGTGACAAGCCATCAGTGGTGAAAAAGCAGGTTAAGGACTATCTAGAAAAGCTGGACATGTACAAATTCATACGGCTGGACACAGTGTATACCCGAGGGTGCTAAGGGAGTTGGCCAATGTGATTGCAGAGCCGGTAGCCATTATTTTTGAAAACTCAGTTTGGCAATTGGGAGAAGTCTTGAGTGATTGGAAAAGGGCAAATGTAGTGTCCATCTTTAAGAAAGGGAAAAAGGAGGATCCAGAGAACTACATAGAGGTCAGCCTCACCCAAGTCTCTGGAAAAATGATGGACTAGGTCCTTAAGGAATCCATTTCTAAGCACTTGGAGGAGCGGAAGATGATTAAGAACAGTCAGCATGGATTTGCCAAAGGCAAATCATGCCTCACCAACCTGATTGCCTTCTATGATGAGATGACTGGCTCTGTGGATGTGGGAAGAGCACTGGACATGATATACCTTGACTTTAGCAAGGCTCTTGATACGGTCTCCCAAAATAGTCTCACGAGCAAGCTAAGGAAGTATGGGTTGGGTGAATGGACTGTAAGATGCAGATGACACCAAGCTGTGGGGAAGAATAGTAGGTACACTGAAGGAGGGTAGGACTAGGATTCAGAGAGACTTTTGACATATTGGAAGATTGGACCCAAAGAAATCTCACGTGTGTCAATAAGGAGAAGTGCAAAGTCCTGCACTTCAGACAAAACTCCCATTCACCACTACAGGCTGGGGACCAACTGCCTAAGCAGCAGCTCTATAAAAAAAGGCATGAGGGTTACAGTGGATATGATGTGTATATATACTGAGCCAACAGTTTACCCTTGTTGCCAAGATGGCTAACAGCATGCTGGGTTGCATTACCAGGAATGTTGCCAGCACATCA